GGGGGGGGGGGCCGGCGCGCGGGATGCTCTAACCACTGAGCACACTGGCCAGGCCTGGGCCATTTCTTATGGTGGTTGCTTTCCACTGTTGAGACTTGCAAGCCTTATACTGGCAGAGATGAACTGTGTCAACAGTTCTTAATGGGTATGAGGCTGATTGTTTTTCTTATATCTGTGCAAACTGGTGCAAACTTTTCTCTTTCTCTTGAAATACTTATTGTTTCACAGTTTACTCTTTTGCCCATAAAGCCTTTATATTTCTTATATTTTTCTCTACTTGTTTGTTTTTTTCTTATTGGCATTACTTGTTGCATTCCAAGGTTAGAGTTCAAGAAAATTAGTTTCAGTTTTCTTTTTTTTTTTAATCCCCACCTGAGGATATTATTTCCATTTGATTTTTTCAGAGAGAGTGGAAAGGAGGGGAGGATGGAGGGAGAGAGCAAGAGAGAGAGAAGAAACATTGATGTGAGAGAGAGAGACAGATTGGTTGCCTCTCGCACACAATCCTGGGAGGCTGGGGATCAAACCTGAAACCCAGATACGTGCCCTTGACCAGGAATCAAACCCGTGACCCTTTGGTGCATGGGCCAACATTCTAATCACTGAGCCATGCAGGCCAGGGCTTGCCTTTTATTTATTTTTTAAAAATGAACAGAAATAGAAAGGGCCATTACAATCCAACATGTTTCCTGGTTGGGAAGTCCAAGATTATGTAATTTTCCTTGTTTGCCTCCTGGGATCCTTAGCCTCTGGAAGCGTCTATGTGTCATGTCACTGGAGAGCTCTGAGCTTCTTACTGATCTTAAGCATAAACTTTGTTTTTCAGTGTGTGTTAAAGAGCAACTAACTTTGTAAACCTATCATAAAACAAAAGCACCTCTTTAAAGAAATTGCTCCAAAATTATTTTTTTTGGCATGTAGTATAGTCTTGATTTCTTCTAGCCTGTTCCAATGTTAGACTGTTTATGTACAAGTTGAGGAGAGCCAGTCTACTTCCTGTGTTCCCAGCCAGCTTTTTGTCCGATAAGACATTGCCGTATTACCACCAGTCCTCTTCTTGATCACCGAGAAACTCTTCTACAGGGCCGCTCAGAAATGAGTTTGTTGCCAAGTCTGGTTGTAGGATGTGTGTTGAACTTCATGCAGGTAGCAAGGAGCTTGAATGAACTATTGCACGACTTCCACACTAATTTTTGAGTGTCTTTATTTAGAGAATGGCAATTTAAAAGGAAAAGATATACTTGTTTTGCCCCTTGACCTGACTGACATAAGTTCACATGAAGTGGCTACCAAAGCGGTTCTCCAGGAGTTTGGTAAAGTAAGTAGCATTTTGAATTGATAAGTTTTGCTTTGAAGTAGCTGCAAAAGAGATTCCCATCTGTGGTGCTATCATTAAAAGGGCTTTAGGCAAATGGGTCCATGCAGTGAGATCAAGGCCCATGAGTTTGGCCTCTTAATCTCTGAATCTTTGGCTTTGTGAAATTAGTACTTTTAACACCTTAACAAGTACTAACTTCTCCATGTAGAACAAAAGAAGCTAAAAATACAGTGCCTTTTATTTTTATGACATTTACTACTTTCCATAAAGAGTCACCTAAAATAGGAATTTAATTCCATAGGTGAATTCTGTTTTTTATTTTATGTTTTTATTACTGACTTCTGCAAATACACCATTCTGTGCCAGTGATTCTTCAGGTTAACAATATAAGCAATCATCCCTAGGGATTCCATCAATCCATCTACAGGTTGTCACCAAAGTGTCCCTTTTCTAATTTTATTGATTAGATCGACATTCTGGTCAACAATGGTGGAAGATCCCAGCGTTCTCTGTGTGTGGAAACCAGCCTGGATGTCTTCAAGGAGCTAATAGAGCTTAACTACTTAGGGACAGTGTCCTTGACAAAGTGTGTTCTGCCTCATATGATTGAGAGGAAGCAAGGAAAGATTTTTACTGTGAACAGTTTCATGGGTATCTTGTCTGCACCCCTTTCTAGTGGATATTGCGCAAGCAAGCATGCTCTTCGGGTAAGGCTGCTCAAACTAACTTTGATAGAATTGACCTAAATGTATATGGGGGATATGGCCATCACTGCAAAAGGTCATTGGAACTGGGCAGTGATGGAGAGAGAGAGAGACCCAAGGAGACCTTTGATAGATGACCTCCTCGGAGGATGCTAAAAAAGGCTTGAGCCTCACATACCTCCTTCTAATTCAACAAATGTGTAATGAGCACCTACACTGTGTCATACCCTACAACAGATCCTGGGGATATAAAGATGACATATGGTCCCTGCCCTCAAGAATTATATAGTCTAGTCAACATGTCACCCTTCGCCTTCTCTTCATTTCTACCACATCTTCATGGCAAATTTGGGATCCACCTCTCATTTCTTTACATACTTAAGGATGTAGTTTTCCTCCCCATTTCTGTGACTTCTTTTTCCTTTCCCCTTGTACGTGGGATTTATCTTACCTGGTATAAATACGTAAGTATGTCAGAAATAGGAACTGCGCACTAGATGATTAGCCCTGAGCTTCATATCCCTTGCTGGGACTAGCTTTGACTCTATTTACCCTGGGTGCACTGGAAGGAGAAAATCTAGTCAAGGCAGAGGCCAGGAGAAAAGCTTGATTTGGTTTGCTTAACTTATGAGATGTGAATATTAGGAACAAATGAATGTTTAAAGTTGGCTAAGAGTGGATATGAAGAAATGTTAAACTATAACATGGGACATTTTAAGTCATAAGGCCAAGAGGAGAAGAATGATTAAAGGAGACACATAATTTATAATTAATGTTGTTGAAGGTCAGTTTATATAGAATGTTTCACTGTTGGAATAATGAGATGATGGCTGAATGATCATCAGTTTCATGAAAACGTGAAGCTTTGGTTCCTTAGTACGTCCTTTCTGTTGTGGAAAGCATACAGTTGGAGAGAGTGACGAAATGGAATGCTACCCTGATGATTTCCTCATACCTGGTAATACAGGGTATCAGTCACTTCCTACAGGGCCGTTGGGCAAGTCTCAGGCTGGTAGATGAGGGAAGGCAGCTGCCCCATCTGTTTGGCACCTAGTGTCTCATAAGACATGCAGGATGCTTTCAGTCAGATGCAATCTGAGGTGTCTGGCCTGCCCTCCAAGACTCACTGTTTTATTACGGGATTTGATCCTCTGACACAACGTGGCAGATTGAGACTCTGGTTACTTACACCAGTAGCCGAACATGGAAACCAGAAGGCTCTTTGAAGAGTACATTTCCTTCCCCGATGCCCATCAGAGCTATAGAGTGAACTTGTTTATCAATGAAAAGTTCCCACACTATACTAGGTGTGATTTCAGACAAGGAGAGGTTTTAGTGTCCGGCTTGTTGGCTTTCATGGCACCTGTCCTCTCTCCTCTTTGCTGAAGAGGGGCAGACAGTTAAAGATATGATTCATTCATTCACTTAGAAAGCCTTTTTCCTGTCCATCTGAGTTAGGCACTGTATTAGTCTCTGACAGCATGAATCCTCATAGGCCCTGTGTTTGTTAGGGGTCAGGGTTAAGAGCTGGTAACTTTTTAGTGTTGTTGGATCATAAATAAATGTACCCTGGGTTAGCTCTTTAGGCTTTTCAGTAGTTAACTCACCTAATAACAATGTAGTCTTGGACCATTTCCTAAATTAGGGAAAGTAGATGTTTACTCCCTGTTTGGTTTAGAAATGGCCAATATCTTTAAGGCTAGAGCAGGGGTGGGGAACCTTTTTTCTGCCAAGGGCCATTTGGGTATTTGTAACATCACTTTGCGGGCCATCAGAATTAATCAACTTAAAAATTAGCTATGAAAAAAGCTTCTAGATTTATTGAATTTTGAGTGCCGCCTGTGGCTGCCTTGGCAGGGCCAGACCAAATGTTTTCTTGAGCCGTATCTGCCTGTGGGCCAGACGTTCTCCATCCCTGTAGAGTCTCACTTCTCAGAAAAGATGACTGTTAGCTGAAACCAGTTGTCTGTTAAAGTAGTAATAAATAGAAAAAGTTGGGCTCTTCTTGATGAGAGTTTCTGTTAAGTACTAATCCCGTTCACTGCCTCTTGCCCTAATATTGGCACTTTTGACCACTTTGAGGGATAAAAAGAAACCAAATCTGAGTGATTCTCATGGAGAACATGCCCCCCTTTTGGAATAGGGATATGGGGTTTGGTCTAAGTAGCGTGTATCAGAATCTCCGGGGGGTAGTTTTTCACCTATCCAGCGCTTGCCTACCATAAAAACACTGATCGTATGATCTCCCACTACCAAACAGGTGAATCATTCCTACCCGGAAATAGCTGAGAATGCTCTTCTTGATTGCCTAATAGGATTGCACAATTACAGTTCCTGCTCTCTACTCATATTGGAACATATTTTTATAATGTGCCACTATTGTCCTTCATAAGTAGTTGAAGAAAATTTCATGCTACTAGTAAACATGAAATATGTGTCTGTATTTATTTTATTCGCCTTTTTTTTTTTTTTTTTGGCCTACTAGGGTTTTTTTAATGGCCTCCGATCTGAACTTGCCACATACCCAGGTATTGTAGTTTCTAACATTTGCCCAGGACCTGTGCAATCAAATATTGTGAAGAATTCACTAATGAATGATATCACACAGGTAAGAGCTTCTAGTTGGGGTAGAATATGAATGCTTTAGTAGTCGTATGTTGGTTTTATATTTCTGTGCCTCAGGGTTTTCCCGTTAGAACTGCTTATGACTTATTTACAAACCTTAACTCATGGCATTAGGAAAATTGTTAAGATTACCTGATAGTGCTTTGGCAGCCAGTTTTAATAAAGGCTAAAGAAATTGCTGAGATACTACTGGTAAGTAATCCATTATGATGTGATGTAAAAAACTCAGTTTCTATCAACTCACAAATTATAATAATGCTAAGAGGTTCTGTGTGGCTGAATTTTATTATATTCAACTTACTGGGCTTTTAAAGAAGAATCAGGGTGAAGGAGCTTAGCAAAAGACTCAGTGCATTGTGATATTTTTAGGTTAGCCTCACCCAGGCTTGTGCTTCCCCCAGCTCAGATTACACATAGTGATTTATCAAATCAATAGCAGATGTCTCTTAAAGAATCCAGTGTCACTCAGTAATACAAAATCCCTCTAAAGACCATGAAATTTTCCTTCTCCATTAAGATCTAGTTCTACTGAGACATAAATGTGTTTATGCTTCTATGTAAGTATTCACCCAATTATAGGAATCACGGGACTTGGAAAGTGGACCTGGTTGTTACAGTGATCCGTGTGAGCACAGATGAGTTACTACCTTTCTGAGTCTCAGTTTGTTTATTTATAGAATGGTAGTGGGTTGACTAGATTAGCAGTACCAAAAAAACCACTTTTATCTTTTTCCTCCACTTTACCCCCATGGACTCTGTGTTTTATAGAATTTCATTTGTTAAATGTATGTATTAATTCACTTAAAGATTTTTATTACTAAAGTGATATATAATTATTAAGTACATTAAGATGATACAATTCTAATTAAAAGCAAAGAACCTTCATCTTTTAATTAGCTTGCATAGTCTTATCTGGTAAGTATCTGATTCCTGTTAGGCTTTTTGAAATATCATAGACACCTATTAGTACCTATGGGGTTCTAAGGGGGCACGAGGTCACATCAAAAAGTCACCCAACCAGGTGACTTCTGGGTCCTTTCTAGCTTAAAAGTTATGTGAAATACCTTGGGTAAATACCACTCACTTAATTTTTTAAAAATTTCTTAGACTGTCGATAGTGTTCCAGACCAGTCCTACAAGATGGCAACCAGCCGTTGTGTGCGGCTGATGTTAATCTGCATGGCCAATGACTTGAAAGAAGTTTGGATCGCGGATCAGCCTTATTTGATGCTGGTATATTTGGGGCAGTACATGCCCACCTGGGCCTGGTGGCTGGCTGACAAAGTAGGGAAGAAGCGGATTGAGAACTTCAAGAAGGGTCTGGTAAGAACAAGTTACACGTCTCTCAGTACGCATCAGTCTTTAGGAAAGGGTGAAGTTTCCTAGCGTTTAAAAACTTGTCTTACTAACTCGCCACTAATCTCATGATACCAGTACAAAAGACATAAAAAGTATTCTGTCACCCCAGGCATAGCTGTTGGTCTATTATAAATTACTACTGGTCTTGGAGAAAGAAGTTTGCTGCAAGGTCAAATCAAGTCGAAGATTGCCATTTTTCCTTCTGCACTTGCTGTTTGACCAGAGTATGTGCCACGTGCTCTTCCTCCTCACAGACTCCTACTCATCCTACAAGTCTCAGCTCCGGTGTCACCTCCTTGGGTTGATACCTGGCCTCCCATCTCATTTCTTCCCAGGACTGCATGAACCTCAGCCCTGTGCTTACCTTTGTCAAAGCACTTACTGTGCTGTTAAACTGATGCGCTCTTGCTGGGTAGTGCTGGTTCCTTTGACTTGATCCAGAAGCACTCTGCTCATCTGAGATGTGCCTGTGTCCCTGTGTAAGAAAATGTGCTGATCACTCATACTTTCAACACTCATTCTTTTAGAAAAGAGGAATATTATGAACAATTTCTGAGAAAATTGTGACCATCAAAAGAGTTTAATGTATAAACCGCACAGGAAATGTCAGGAGTTAAGCCAAAAATTATAGATGTGATTATACAAAGAAAGGTTATTTCTTTGGATGGTTTTATTGTTGAAGTATTTCTTTCAGTGATACTTTTAGAAATAAGTCAGTAGGGACTGATGTATAAAGAATTGTAAAATGGGATCATTCCATATACATCATTAGGTAACCTACCACTATTTAAGCGACCCATGAATTGTTAGCCATTTAATTGCTTCAACTTTTTGTAGGACAGTCAAAATGAATTAGTGAAAAAAGCAAAAATGCTTAAAATGCTTAGAGACGTAAAGGTTATCAAACTTCCATGCTGTACTAACCCATCCAGAGCTTGAAAAATCCTGAAGGGCTATACATTTTCTACCAACTTATACTATGACCAGTTTGCTTTGGGCCAAATCATAAGTGTTTTGGTAATGTTGGGGCTAGGTAGTGTAGGGTGGTTATAAATGTAGAGCTTCATCAAAGATTACATCTGAGTTTTAAATTTGGAGTACAGCTGATATAGTGGTATTGTGCCCACTGATGGATAAGAGTCCAGAGGGAACGGCCACCTTACTAGAGAGGTGACACAGCATCCTGGTGCCAGGCTACATGGGTTGAAATCTCAGCTCTACTCCATTCAGTCCCATGATCTAAGGCGATCTAAGGTAAGTTACTTCTCTCTAAGTCAATATCCCCATCTACAAAATGGAGATTAATGATGACAATAGCATCTAGTCATAGGATTGTCATGGAGATTGAGTTAGTTAGTATGCGGAAAACTTAAAACACACCGTGGAGTGTTATACTTACTGAGGATTAGCTGTTGATGCTTTCATTTAGGTGGTACAGGAATATTGAACTCACAGATAGTGAAGATCAAAGAGTTAAATAATAGGGCAGAAAGATGATACATTATAGAAATGATTGTTTCAGAGGGAAAAGAAGGACCAGGGGCTAGAGTTTTAGTCCCACTGTAGCAGATGTTATTTTATTTACACAATATCTAAGTGTAAAATATAAACATTCAGTAAATCTAGCATTTGATTACATCTAACCCTTGCTAACAGTGACGGCCTTTCTCTTCCTACTACTCTCTTTAATATATTGCTTATTACATGGTCTTATTGCTTTATCACTTTTTTTTTAATGATAAACTGGGCATGATTTCATTTCCCACTATCATTTCTGAGAGATTATACCTCCTTCTTCACACAATACCATAGAAACTTTAAAAAATTGTTTCTCGCTTTTTACTCAATTCTCTCCTCTGTGCTTCTTTCCTCCACGTTGTTTTCTATTATATATATCCATCTCCTTATTGTGATTTGTTTATAAGTATCTAAGTTAAGAGAATGCCAATATAGCTTTATCCCAAACTAAATGTACTTGGTGATAATATTTGAATTTGTTTCTGTCCTTGAGGCTAGGAACAGCATGTCTGGAACTTTGATGAATCTTTATTATTTTAAGGGATTAGGAACAATAGCTGCATTGAATTTTGCGTTTTATTTTTTGTCTTAGTGCAAATTCTTGGTAGTGGTAAATGCATATCTCGCCAAATGAAATGTCACACTCATCTTAGGGATGATTGAGTTACCTTGTTTTACATTTTAAGCAATATTCTAAAAGTTCACAAGTCATTTTAGAGTTATCTGTAAAATATTTCAATTCTAAATATCTTGATTCTTTGTAATTGTTAAGGCAAGTCAGTGTAGGTATGATATGCTGCTCCAGAAGAGTAATGATAGAGATTCTAGCATTTACAAAATGACATGAGCAGATGCTTACCAGTGATAGAGGAGATAATGATGTAGATCTAGAATTTTAGCTATGAATTTTATTCTAATTTAAGCATTTGCCCAGGTTTTATAAGGATTCTCTACAGTGAATCATAATTATATAGCTCCTTAAAACAGAAGGAATTGTCCAAAATTGGGGTAAATACAAGGAGGGACTGATTCATGTTACTGTCACTTTGTTACAGGCTGCAGATGATTATTTTAAAACCTGGAAGAGAAAACATGACTGACAGAGTACTTGCATTTTCAAGCCCCTGGAAGGAGAAACAGAAAACATGAAAACAGCCATCTTCTTGTGCACAAACGACTAACTTGTGATTTTACTTCTTAATAGACACAACTTTCCTTTCAATATGTAATAAACAATAAATAAAAGATTGCTATGAGTCTTGCAATAAAGATGGTAATAATACTGCACTCTTGGATAAAAGAGCATTTTAACATACTCTAGCGTTTATGCTTAAAATCTAGGTTAGCAGAATGCTAATCAAAGAATTAAAGTAATCCATTTAATGGAAATGTATGGGGTATTACACAAAGCTGAGTGCTGGGTAATGAGCAGATACAAAGAAATATCTGAATGGTCCTGCTACCAAGGTGCTCACACTCTCTTAGAAGAATTGACAGGGACAAATGACTACTTAAAAGTGGGAGGTAGGACTCATAGCCATAATTTATTAAACACCTATTATATGCCATTTGCTGTACTGAGGTGCTTTGTATTAGCTAGTTCATTTATTCCTCATAAAAGCACACTAAGATAGGTGGTATCCGACTTTATAGATGCCCAAAGCAAGTAGGTGTTACTTTCCCAAGCTCACGGGGCTAGTAAGGGGTAAAGTCAAGATTAAACCCCATTGGCAACACCTTAGTCTAAAATTAATTTTACTTAAATCTTTAGCACCTTCATAGATAACATGCATAGGCAACAATTGAAAATCAACAAATACTCCTTAACTATCTACTGTCAAAGGGGGGGGTGTAACAGGAGAAGAAAGTCATGGTTCTTTATAAGCAGTTCAGTTTATAGCCAAGGTAACATACATAAAATAACTAGACGAGCTGTTGAAGTTGGAGGCCACCCTGGTGGCTGCCTTGGGAAAGGGGGAAGGTGATGTGTGGGGGAGGTACACCATGGGGTACGGCAAGTAAAAGCAATGGAATAAGTGCACACAAAACAACATGGATATGTTTTAGAAGCGTGGTGATGAGTGGAGAAAGTGAAAGAACTGGAACACAATTCTGTTTATACACGCACAAATTTATGTGCGTAGAAGGTAGTGCTCATTTTGCAAGAAAACAATGAAAAGGTGAACATTAGATGTATCGTAATGGTTGCTTAGGATGGGGGGGTAGGATGGGGATCAATTGTAATAAATGAGGGGGCTCTTGTACAACCAGTGATGGAAATTATGATTAAAAAATCACCACGCCTGGGGTGAAAACAAAAAGATGGATCATTGGAACGATTCTAGAATGCTACAAAATAACATGATGTGGCATGGTGCAGGCTGTGAGTGCAAACAGTTCAGATTTGCAGATTAGTGTGGAAGCTCTTTGTAGAGAAGCTGTGACTTGCACTTAGCCTTGAAAGGGTGGACTTTAGACTAAGAGGCTTCAGGAGATCAGGGTCCAGGGCAGTTTTTTTAGTTGTCATTGACTCTACAGTGCTTGGCATTGTGCTTGCCAACATTTAGGGTTTGTTGAGCGTATGTAAACCAGGCATTCTTTGTCTTCAGAATGTCACCAATGAAAACTCAGAGGCTGAAATTAGCACAGAATGGTAGAAGAGGTATAAATATTTAGAAATTATTTTTAGAAAGTCATCTGTATGGTGTTTTTCTATAGCACGTAATTCATAATATCCATATATAGACACTCACTCATCCTCAGGCTCTTTTGTCAGCAGACTGAGACGGAAAAGCAGATTTTGGTCAAAGTTCATTTTCTCAAAGATAGTCCAGAACTGTGAAACCAAGTGTTCACATATTGACTTTTTAGAAAGTGTTTATTATTTTACAGACATCTCATTTCCTAATGATCATCTCCAATGGCCCTTTGAAATAGGAAGGAAAAGGTGTGTTCCCTTCTACCAGTGCTGAAAGTGAGGCACAGATGGGGTTGTGTAAGAGGACAGCTGGTGAGTTGGTAGAAGAGTAACCAGTAGAAGCTGTGGCTTTAGCGTTAATCTGCTGAACTGCTGGGTAGATCAGTAAGTATTGTGAGACCTTAGTCACAGGTAATTATTGACTGGCAGATTTAATAAACATTCTATTATTTTTAACTACTGAAGTATAATTGATGTACAATAAACTGCACTAAATTAAAATGTACAATTTGGTAAGTTTTATCTTTCTCTTTTTGCTTTATTATACTTTCCTCCTTGGTTAGCTTAGTAGTTATACACTTATTTTTATTTTCTATTTTAGTGGTTATTCTATAGGTGACAGTCAAGTCTAAGTTAGTTGGTACTTTAAAATTCTTTCTGGATAATACAAGGAGCTAGAACTCTTTAACTTTGTTAATTTCTGCATCAGCTTTTATGCTGTTATTGTCATGTATTTAAACATTTTAACCTCCAAAATTATTTTATATTGTGACTATTAATATAGATTTAACCGTATACTTTTAAAAAAATATTGTCCACTCCTTGTATCCCTGAGCTACTTCAGAATCATTTTCCTCCTGTCTGAAAATATACTTGTTTCCTTTTATGAGAATCTGCTGCTGCAGGTCCTGTTTGAAAGTGTCTTTATCTCCATTCTAAAAGAGTTTTGGGGGAAAGGCTGAGTATAGATTCTGTTTGCAGTTCCTGTCTTTTAGCAAATTTAAGATATTCCACTGATTTCTGGTTTCCATACATTCTATTGAGAAGTTGTGTCTTTCTGGCTGCTTTTATGATTTCCTTTTTATATACTTTTCTCTTAAGATGTGTTGGGGTGTGGTTTTATTTATTATGCTTAGGTCTTGCAGGGATTGATGGCTCTTAACAATTTGATAAATTTTCAGCCATTATCTCCTCAAATGTTGCTTCTACCAGATTCTCCCCCCTCTCCTGGAATTTCAGTTACTTGTACGTTACATCTCATGGTAACACTGTGTGTCTTATCCTCTCATTGTACTTTCCATTCTTTTGTGTCATGTTTTATATCAGATATTTACTTCTGACCTAACTTCTAGTTCACTAACTCTTACTTTAGCTGTGTCATTTCTATCAAATATATTCACTGAGTTCTTAAGCGTGATTAATGTATTTTTCAGTCTGAGACTTGTCAGTTCTTCTGTATAGTTTCTAATTCTCTGCTGAAACTTTCAGTCTTGTGTTTTATATCTTTATATGTACCAAACATAGTAATTTTCAAGCCTGTGCTTAAAAACTCATTATCTGGATGCCCTATGGGTCTGTTCATATTGTCTATCGCTTCTCTTGGGTGTTGATCATGTTGTCTTATCTCCTCAGGTACTTTATTTTAGATTGCCCAATATTAAATATGAAAAATTGTAAAAAAACTTGGAAGTTCAGTCCAGAGATTTACATTTGCTCTGGGTAGTGGCTAGGTACAAATGGCTAGTAATCTAGAGTTACCTTAACCCAGTTTTCGGGATTAGAAAGATTCAAACTGCATCAAGAGGATACTTGGAAGAAAAAGATTTTATTGGGAGAGATTTTATTAAACACTTTTAAGGTTTCTGAATTGAAGTATATGAAAAGAAAATAATTACATGAAACATTCAGACCTTCAGACCATGTTAAATATTAAAATGAAACAGCACAAAGTTTGAAAATATTATAAAATTTAATTGTATTTCAAATATATGTATACATTATGTAGCCTTTAACAACATCCACTATCATTACTTAAAACACTGATATGTATCTCTTAAGTATGTAAAAATTACACAGTTGTTGACTTTTGCAAGTCATATGACCTATCACACATTTAAGAAAGCATTAAAAATCCATTCTCTAATCTTACATACGTTTTATATTTAACAAAGCCTACCACAATCCATTGGGCACAAATATTGGCCAAAAGTTGTAACTTTTATGTTAGACATAAGGTTTTTTGTGTTTTTTTTTTTTTTTAAACCATTAGGATAGGTAAGAGAACCAACTTTATAGAGCTTAGCTTTTCCAGGCATCTGACTTGTGGGAGGAGAGAGGAAAAGTCAGCGAAGTTTAAAAAATCATTACTCTTCTAGAATGAAAAAAATAAAGACATCTCATCTGATGACATTTACAAATAAATATGAGCTCTAATACAAATGTATATGGAGAGGATTTGAAGAATAAATTGGATATCCCAGGGGAGGATCAGCTGCTTGTACTGTAAGGTTTCTAAGAAGTAGTGGATGAGCTTGTATACTATAACGTTCCTCGTCGTCATTTGTGGCATAAAGCAATTCCCATGAAAGATTGGCCCACTGACCTCTAACGGCTTCAGCATTTAACTTCCCAACTTGTATCAATAATTCTTGAAGGGTAAGTACTCTCCCAGTGTAAACTCCCTTTAAAGTATAAAAGGGGTGGGGGAGGAAAAAAAGATTATATTCAGGCCTTTATATTTTATTTATAAACTTAGAAAAAAAGTCCATTGTATTGAGGCAAACTTAAAAAGTGTTGTATTAAATTGTACACACAGGAGTTGCTTGTCTTCAGAATTAGGAGTCAACTCTATTTGGTAATTATGTGAATAAGTATGAGAGAGAAAATTCCCTGACAGCCATTTCACTCAATGAACAGAATAGCAGAATCTCACTACTTCTCTTTCCTTCTCTATTCCTTCATCCCATCTGGCCTCAGCAACGCATAAGTCATAAATACTAGTCAGTGGACAATCACACAATAGGCTCTTTCTAAAAAACAGCTTCACTAAGATATAATTCACAGTCCATACAATTTACTCATGTAAAGCATATACAATTCAACAGTTTTTAAAATATATTCAGATATGTACAATTATCACCAATTTTAGAACATTTTCATGACCTCAAAAAGAAACCTTGTACTCTCACTATTACCCTGCTATCTCTTCATTCCCCTAGTCCTAAGAACCATTAAAGTACTTTCTAACTCCATAAATTTGCCTATTCTGGAAATTTCATATGAATTTCATATGAAATTTCATATGTGTTTTTTTGTGACTGGTGTCTTTAACTTAGGACAATGTTTTCAAGGTTCATTCATGTTGAGCATGTAAGTACTTCATTCCTTTATGGCTGAATAATATTCCATTGCATGAATATACCACAGTTTGTGTATTCATCAGTTGATGAACAGGTTATTTCCATCTTTGGCAATTATGAATAACCCTGCTATCAACATCCATGTACAAGTTTTTATTTGTATCTATGTTTTCATTTCTCTTGGGTATACACCTAGGAGTGTTATAACTGGGTCAGATGGCAATTCTTTGTTCAATCGTTTGAGAAACTCAGGTTTTTCAAAGTGGTTGCCTCATTTCTGCCACCATTGTATTAGAGTTCCAATTTCTCCATATCTTCCAACATTTATTCTCTGATTTTTTTTTCCTTTTCCTTTTAGCCATGCTAGTGTGTATGAAGTGGTGTTTCATTGTGATTTTGATTTGGGTTTCCTTGCTGATGAAAGATGTTGAACATCTTTTTATGTGCTTATTACCCCATTTGTATATCTCCTTTGGAGAAATGTCTATACAGATCTTTTGTTCATTTTAAAACTGGGTGATCTGTCATTTTATTATTGAGTTGTAAGAGTTCTTTATATATACCAGTAATAGGTCCCTTATCAGATATATGCAAATTTTTCTTCCATTCTGTGAATTGTCTTTTTACTTTCTGAAGGTGTCCTTTGAAGCACAAACGTTTTTACTACTGAAGTCCTATTTATTTTTTCTTTTGCTTCTCATGTTTTTTGGCATTAATATCCAAGAATCCACTGCCAAGTTTGTGAAGATTTCCTCCTTTGCTTTCTTCTAAGATTTCTATGGTGTTAGCTCTTACATTTGGGTCTTTATGCCATTTTGAGTTCATAAATGCATATAGTATGAAGTAAGGGTCTACAGTTGGTTGAACAGCATATTTCAAAGAAGATATATCCCAATCCTATCCCATGGCACCTATGACTGTGACCCTATTTGGAATGGTTCCTTGCAGATGTAATTAAGTTAAAAGATCTCAGGTGGGCCCTAAATACAATGACTGGTATCTACTTGAAGTTTGCTGAGCTTCCTGGATGTTTAATGTTTTTCAATAGATTTGGGAAGTTTTTGGCTATTACCTCTTCAAATAATTTTTTCTGCTCCTTTCTTTCTCTCCTCTCCTTCTGGTATCCTCTTATGTGTATGTTCAGCAGTTAATGGTGTCCCACATTTCTGTAAGGCTCTTTTCATTCATTCTTTTTTCTCTCATGTTTGGATTGCATATCTCTATTGATGTAGAATATTCAAGCTCATTAATTCTTCCACCAATTCAAATCTATTGTCGGCTCTCTAGTGAGTTTGTCATTTGGTTCTTTTTTTTTACAAATGATTTCTATCTCTGTTGATAGTCTTACTCTATGTGATGTGAGATTGTCAACATACCTTCCTTTACTTCTTTTTAAAAATATGCCTTTATTGATTTCAGAGAGAGGAAGGGAGAGAGAGAGAGAAAAACATCAGTGATGAGAGAGTCACTGATTGGCTGCCTCCTGCACACCCCCGACTGGGGATTGAGCCCACAACCCAGGCATGTGCCCCAACTGGGAACTGAACCGAGATCTCCTAGATCATAGGTTGATGCTCAACCACTGAGCCATGCTGGCTGAGAACCGAGATCTCCTAGATCATAGGTTGATGCTCAACCACTGAGCCATGCTGGCTGGGCTACTTCTTTTTAAAAAACTGAGATAAAGTTGACATATAATATTATATTAGTTTCAGGTCTACAACATAATGATTTGATATCTGTATATTGTGAAATGATCACAGTAAGTCTAGTTAACATCCATCACACATAGTTAAACATTTTTGTTTCATCTTGTCATGAGAACTTTTAAGATCTATTGTCTTAGCAACTTTCAAATATACAATGCAGTATTAACTAATAACAATAATTCTTTTTTTGTTTTCCTCACCTGAGGATATTTTTTCCATTGCTTTTCAGAGAGAGTGGAAGGGAAGGAGGGAGGAGTAGGAGGAAAGAGAGTGAGAGAATACACTGATGTGAGAGAGACACATTGGTTGGTTGCTTCCCCGCACATGCCCCAACTGGGGGCGGGGAGTGAACCCACAACCCAAATACATTCCCTTGACCAGGAGTTGAACCTGCAACCCTTCAGTGCACGAGCCAACTCTCTAACCACTTAGCCACACCAGCCAGGGCACTAATAATTATTAACTATAGTTACCATGTTGTACAATACATTCCCAAAACTTATTTTGTAACCGGAAGCTTATACCTTTTGAACACATTCACCTATTTCACCACCACCCCCAACCCCTGCCTCTGGCAACCATCAATATATTCTCTGTATCTATGAGGTTTTTAAAAAAATTTTTAGATTCCACATGTAAGATTATTATGTTATTTGCATTGCTCTGTCTGACTTATTATACTTAGCATAATGCCCTCAAAGTCCATCCATGCTGTTGTAAATGGCAGGATTTCCTTCTTTTTCATGACACAATAATATTCCTGCACACACACTGCATTTTCTTTTTCCGTTCATCGTCAATGGACACTTAGGCTGCCGTCCACATCTTGGCTATTGTAAATAATGTTGAAGTGAAAACAGAGATTCATATATCTTTTCAAGTTAGTGTTTTCATATCTTTTAGATAAATACCCAGAAGTGGAATTGCTGGGTCATATGGTTACTCTAGTTTTAGTTTTTTGAGGAACTTCCATACTGTGTTCCAGTAGTTGCTGTACCAATTTACATTCCCACCAATAGTGTACAAAGGCTCCATTTTCTCCAAATCCTCACCAACACTTTTAATTCTCATTTTGATAACAGCCATTCTAACAGGTATAAGGTAATTACTCACTGTGGTTTTGATTTGCATTTCCCTGATAAGTGATGGTGAGCACCTTTTCATGCATCTGTTGGCCAGTTGTATATCTTCTTTGAAAAATGTCTATTCAGATCCTGCTTTTTAACTGGATCATTTTTTGCTATTGAGTTGTATGAGTTCTTTATATATTTGGTGTCCTAGCCAAAAAATCATCTCCAAGACTGATGTCAAGGAGTTTACTGTCTATGTTTTCTTCTAGGAGTTTTATGGTTTCAGGTCTTATGTTCAGATCTTTAACACATTTTGAATTAGTTTATGTGCATGTGGCTGTCCAGTTTTCCCAGCACCGATTACTGAAGAGACTGCCCTTTTTCAACTGTATATTCTTGGCTCCTCTGTTGTAAATTAATTGACCATATATACATGGGTTTATTTCTGGGCTTTCTATTCTGTTCTATTGATTTATATGTCTGTTTATATGTCAAACCATATTGTTTTTGATTACTATGGCTTTGTAATATAGTTTGAAATCAGGAAGTGTGATGCCTCCAGCTTTGTTCTTTCTCAAGATTGCTTTGGCTATTTGCATCTCTTCTGGTTTTATACAAATTTTAGGTTGGTTGTCTATTTCTGTGAAAACTGACATTCAAAATCTGACAGGGACTGCATTGAGTCTGTAGACTGCTTTGGGTAGTATGAACATTTTAACAATATCAATTCTTCTAATCCATGAGCATGGACTGTTTTTCCATTTATTTTTGTCTTCTTCAAATTCTTTCACCAATGTCTTAAAGATTTTTCAGTGTACACATCTTTCACCTCCTTGGTTAAATTTATTCCTAGGTATTTTATTCTTTGTGTTGCAACTGTAAATGGGATTGTTTTCTTAATTTCTCTTTATGATAGTTCATTATTAGTGTATAGAAATACAATGGATTTTTATATATTAATTTTGTATCCCACCACTTTACTGAATTAGTTTGGTGGAGTCTTTACGGTTTTCTGTATATAATATCATGTCACCTACAATTAGTGACAGCTTTACTTTTTTCTGATTTTGATGCCTTTTATTTCTTTTTCTTGCCCAATTGCTCTGGCTAAGACTACCAATACCATATTGGAATAAAAGTGACAAGAATAGGCATCCTGTCTTGTTACTAATCTAAGAGGAAAAGCTTTCAGCTTCTTACTGTTGAGCATGTTGTTAGCTGTGGACTTGTCATATAAGGCCTTTAATATGTTGAAGTATATTCCTTGTATACCCATTTTGTTGCACACTTTGATTTTTTAAAGCATGGTTTCCTTTAGTCTTTTGAACATATTTATGACTACTTTGAAATCTCTGTTAAATCTGACATCTGGTCACTCACACAGGCAATTTCTGTTGTCTTTTTCTTCTTCCTGGTATATGGGTCAGACTTTCCTGTTTCTTTTCATGTCTCATAATTTTTGTTGAAAGCTGGACATTTTAGATAACACTATAGCAATTCTGGGTACTGATCCTCTCCTTCCCCTACTACAGGGCTTGTTATTGTTATTTGCTTATTAGTTTAGTGAGTTGTTGGATGACTTTAGTAAATTAATCCCTACCTCCCTGATAAGTGTTAAGTCTTTGATATTGCTCCCTGGGTAGAGCAGCCTTGTGAATGCTGTTACCATGGGATAGCAGTGGTTTTGGCAGGGCTCTTTTTGTTAAGTGTTCACACCTAGCTGTTAAATGCCACTGATTGTTCTACATTTTCAACAGTAACCTGGGGCATAAATTGCGCCATAGACTGATCCAATTTGGCTCCTTTGAAAGAATAGCTTTGGAGATCAATGTTTGAGATTTGTTCTAACCCTAGGAAGGCTCTTCTTTGCTGTTTCTTTCCAGGTTCTCTCTGTTAATCTACCCAGCCTACAGTTTAGCTTATATCGTGAATGAATTTACAACTGCCTCTTAATTACTTTTCACCACAACCTCCATAGCTTTTGAGAGAATCTTAGGCTTCAATGTGTCCACACTGTTTTGCAAATGATGTTGGCTCCTTTGGGAAGAGATTTGTTTTTTTGCTTTTTGTTAATAGTTTCCTTCTCTCTTTGCACAAAATCTCCAAGGCAGAGCTCTGAATCTGAAGGGGAGACAATGATGTGTTTCTCTCTGAGTGACACCTCTGCTTTAGGAGATAAGTGCTTGGTAGAGGAGGAGCAGTAACCTAAGGGGAACAAGTAACCTTGTCTTGCCTCTCCCAGTGTGGAACCTGTACCCTATGCAAGGGTGATTAGGGCCCTCATATTCTCAGAGGCACCATGTTCAGGTTAAAGCCTCCATCCAGTAACTTGGGTTATCCAGAAAGGAGTTCTCGTATCTTGACTATACAGGCCCAGAACCTAGCCTCAAAGCAGGTAGCTGAGAGTCAGATGAGAAACGCTGAAGTCCTGCCTCCAACTGGCAACTGCACATCTGCAGAGCTTCTTAGGCTCTAATGCTAGACATGGAACCCCTAATAAGCTCATAACATTGGATCTTTTATACTGTGCATACTCAATGACATTTTAAATGCAATGAGAACAAGTACCAAATCTTTCTTAATTTTCACAGGTCAGATATGCTTCAAATAAAGTATAAATGTCAGCAAAATAAATAGTTTGCCACTTACAAATTAATTTCTTCTAGGAGTCAAATCCAAAGTGGTAATTCCTACACTTGAATTTAGCATAAAGATACAATTCTTTCAGTCAAATATGCTATAGCAAATTACATTTACTTGACTATCCTATAAATCAGTTATTATACAACAACTACACAACATTTTTAATTGGTTCCTATTAAATTTGTAATAATAACTAATCAGTCATTTTAAGATTAGTCTATGTTGGCCATAAAGTCATGATTATAAATGCCTTGAAACTATAATTAATATGTAGCATGTCATATCGCTATCACTTAGTTCAAATACTTTATAACTCATTTCCATTCATTAAGGTAATATATGAAAATATTTAAAAACTCATTTTTAACCTTACCATATTAGGATCATATCCCAGAGAAAACAAATATGGTTTTTCTTGTAAAACTGCTTCCTTCCACTTTTCATCAGATACCAAACCAATGTACCAGTCATTTTCATATTCTTCAAGGTAGTTAGTTAGCTCTTTAAAGTCTTCTATTGGACCTAAACTTGCTTTATCAATCATTAGTTTCAGTGTATATCTAAAGAATAGAGAAAAAGAATTTTTTATCAACTTTATAAATGAAATAGATTTTGTTCAATTAATATTTTTAAGACATTAAACTGAAATGATACATATTTCAGATAGAAAGGGAGATATGATGGGAATTAAAGTGAAGAAATCCAAATGAAAAGTAAGTTCCCCACACAAAGAAAACAAAAAGAGGTATAAATAAAGTGTACTCCTGATACAATCACAATACATACTAAGCAATTTTTTCATTTTTATGAGTGATTATTTTTAAAATTAGAAATGAAGGTTTATCTCCTTCTAGGTTATGAAAATTCTCAACATATTCCTGCCACTGTAACAACATGTATATAATCAAAGTGAATTACCTGAAAGCTTTCAGTGTCAGCTGGAACAGTTCTGGCTTTTCAGTCAGCCAATCCAGGGCAACAGACCATGGCAAAACACCACTGTAAACTCTCAATATATGACCAGGAGTAGGATCCATATTGTCTACTCCAAGTAAACTAAAGTAACAAGTCATTACTGCATGAACATAAAAGTCTCTTAAAACTCTGTCCTTTGCAATTTCTTCCAGTACATTTGGGACATTGTCTTCTGAAGGAAAACATTCCAGCTGCCTTAAGACAAACTGGTACCAGTCTCCTGGAAACAGTAAGCTCATCTCCCTCATTCTGGAGTTAGGCAAACAGTTAGAAGTCCACTCTTTAGGTAAGCTTAATAGGTGAGAATGAAAACAACTGAACTCCATGAGAGGAATATACGCCACGTCTTCTTGTTTTCCTTTGTCAGCAGCAGGGTATCCCAATATAACTGCTTTGTAAAGACTATTTTCAGGAACTTTGCCTACAGAATGATCACCAACCATGTGTGATTCTACTGATCCTGGAAGAGGCAAATTTATACTTTGCAAAACTTTTACTTGATCTTTTTCATCCTTTCCTTTTTTGGTAGTTGGCTCATCACCCCAAACATCATCAGACCAGTCATCTAAAGTTTCTGAATATAAACTAACTGTGTCTTCTGGGGATTTGGTTTGTGGTGAAGTATTCAAACTGGGCAGGATTATTAGAGATGCATTCCCTTTACTTTCAGTTTTGTGAACATTTTCCTGCATGCTGGATCTTCTGGAGCAGTACTGAATAAGTATCCACACAAGTACTTTAACAAGGTCACCTTTAAATTCTCTTAAGTTATCATGAGAATCTATTATGCCAGAGAGGACATTCCTGGCATCAGAATAGAGTTTCACGGGCAAAACAGTACAGGGTGTTAGGATACTTCCAAAGTGTCCATTAATAGAACACATTTTTGTAGATTCTTCTTGTACAAAGGCACCTTCAAAAACTTCGTCAACTCGTCGAGCTTCAGCAGTGTGACATGATGTCTCTTGCAATTCTAACCCCTAAGGAGGAAATTAAAAAGTACTCAAGTTTATGTTTACTTATTACACAGAGAAAAGCAACTCGTTTTGTAAATGCTCATGGATTTCGCAAAATTAAAATACTAAAAAATGTAAATATTTTCTTTACCTCAAGAGCTACACCTTTACTCAGATTTAATGGTACTTAAGCTATCTGATGTTGGATACAGAGATAAAAAGTAATACCACTATTTCAAAAGAAATTATAGAAATTCCACTAGAAATTAACAAAATAATTTTATTGAATATGATTGTAATTTTTAAAGACTGTATCTGTAGTCAAGGTTGAATCACACTTATTCAAAACTTTTTTAAATTAGAAGAACTTTTGGAGGAATAAAAATAAAACTGGAATTACATAATATGCACAGTAGTTTTGAATCCTTCCCATCCCACTTTATATGAGAGCATTATTCTATGGATATGCCATAATTTATTTAACAGTTCTCATGTTTGTTTGTTTTACTATACTATAATAATAATAATACAGATTTATGTATTTGATTATTGATTTATGTATTTGATTATTGATTTATGTATTTGATTATTGTTTTGATTATTATTATCTGTCTCCTCCCACTATAATGTCAACTTCATAAAGCAGCTACATTTTGGTTACTACTACATCTGCAGTGCCTAAACCAGTACCTGGCACACAGGAAGTATGAAACAAAGGTTGAAAGAATGAATATTATGAATACATTCTTATATGAATTTTAAACACATTTGGATTACTGCCCTGGAAGGAATCACTTGAAGAGGATGTACCAGGTCCCTGTTTACTATTATTATTATTGTTTATTTATTTATACATTTTTACAAAACTATCAGTGTCTTTAATAAAAGGTAATTCTGTCAGGTTCTATTATGATCCAGCGAGAAGACATGAAATGTGACATCAGAACCTTTTCTTTTTAAGAATAGTTCATTGATTTTTTTTTTTTTTAATTAGAGAGGAAGGGAAAAGAGAAACATCAATGAGAGAGCATAACATCTATCGGCTGCCTTCTGTACACCTCCCGCAACTGGGCATGTGCACAGGACAATGCCACGAGCCACACCAGCCAGGGCCATCGGAACCTCTTTTTACATCATGGCTCTACTAGATGCCAGTACACAATCCTGAGAAGGGCACCTAATCTCTCTGAGATTCCTTTTCCTTCTTTTTCAAAGAAAAATAATCCTAGCACATTGGGATGTGAAGATTAAAGTAATGAAAGTGCTTTGTAAACTCTAGTGCTATATAAATGTTAGTAGATGATAAACAAGCTCGTGTCCAAAAACACTGAAAAAGAAAAAGAGATTGCCACCGAAAGGTATGTCTATACAACATGTCACGGAGCACAAAAGATCAATGAAAGGACCCACATGATTTATTATTATAAAGCATTATTAGGTTTCATAAGCAACTCTAAGGCGGCATTCTGCTCTAAAAGGAAGGAGAAAAATGGTGTAGAAGGCAGGAGCAGTGGGGTCAAAAGGTTTTCGTTAAATTGAGAATGCTTATATGATGGAGGTGTGAAAAAATATTACTGAGTCATACTTTTGAGATGCTCAGCTAGATTGGGATAAAAAGAACAGAACTAGATGAAAAGAGGGAAAGTATATTTTGTTACTATGCTCTATTACATAATCAATACTAATCTGTCTATCAATATGTGCGTACTGGAATATACTTTACAAACCCCTAAGTGTTTTCACAGGTAACTAAAAAATACTCTTTCAAATTGAGCTATTCAGTGTTTGATGCATACATAACAGGTAAAACTTTACACATGTACTATAAAAATAGTACTAGAGAGGTTTCAAATGCATACTGACCTTAATGTTAATACAGCAGTAAGTATAGCCACGTTCTAGAATCATTATCCATATTAAACGATCCTGAAAACGGCCCAAATAATGAGAACCAGGTAAGAGGAGACCTAAAAGAAATTCGAAGAAAAGAAAAGTAATTGTTTAAGCTCGTTTTATTTTTCCACATGAATCTTCAAAATTGATTAACACATTTTCAACTAATTCACAACTCTTTTGACCCTCTCTTTACATCAAAAATAGAAATAACTATTCATTGCATATCATGAGGCATTAAATTAAGCTCTCTACAGGTGATAATTCATAAAAAGTCAAGGATATGGTTTCCAGAAAACAATAAATTAGAACCTGCTACATAAAATCCTAACTACATGTTAAATATATTAGGAAAAGTATTAAATACTGTATATAAAAGCCAACTTCACATTAATGATTTAAAACATTGTGGATATTTTTATACACATGCATAAAAAGTGTTTCTTGGGGCCCTGGCCAGGAAGCTCAGTGGGTTAGTGCGTTGTCCTGATATGCCAAGGTTGTGGGTTCAATCCTTGGTCAGGGCACATACAAGCATCAACCAATGAATATATAAATAGAACAACAAATTGATGTTTTCTCTCTCTGAAAAATCAATAAATTTAAAAAAGTTTTGTGGGATTAAAATTTACATGAAATGCTACCTACCACACTGTACAAATGCTTTTAAAACTTAGTTTTTCTCTGAACATTATGTCTGAGATTTGCCCATGTCAGCTGCAAACAGCTCAAAGTCATTCACTGTAACTGTACTGAGAAATCACTCTATGAATACAGATGAATTTGAATATTTACTTCCCATTTAAAAAACATGTCAGATGCTTCCAGTCTTTCACTATTTTAATAATGCTTTAGAAATTATCTTTGTGGAAGTCTGCTTGTAAAAGGTGTTGTGCAGGAAAGAGTTAACATAACAGAACGATATGCTTTGAAAGGCCTGCTTATAAAGTTGGCACTTGATTGGCATCTGGGAACTTGTATTTCAGTGCAAACAATATAGTTAGCTTTCCTTTGGGGAGTCTGGAATTTTGGTATGTGTTAGGCAGAGAGGGTGCCTCATGACCAGCCCCAATAATAGCCCTTGGCACTGAGTCTCAAATAAGCTTCTCTATTAGTCAACATATCACACATTGTCACAACATATTGCTGGGGAATTAAGCACATCCTGTGTGACTACACTGGGGGAGGACACCTGGAAGTTTGCATCTAGTCTCTTTTAGCCCATGTGACTTTTCCCTTTGCTGATTATGCTATGCATCCATCCTTTAGCTATAAAATATCTTAATACAACTATATGCTGAACCTTGTGAGCCCTCCTAGCAAACCATCAAAGCCAGGAATGGTCATGAGGACCCCAAAACAGATGTGTAAGAGTTTCTCTAGAATTGGAATCACTGGATCACGGACCCTAAAACTGCTATCACTAGGTGATGGGATATGTACATCTTTACTACAGACTATAAGTTTATTCTTCAAGGTGACTGTATAAATTGACACATTTCCTTCTAGGAGAGTTTGAGAGTTTCTGTTCCCCATACACTGGCCAATACTTGCTAATGTCAGACTTTTTACATTTTTGCCAATCAGATGTGTGTGAAATGTTACCTCATTATTTTCCAGGAAATACTTTATAACACACTTCTTGGCGGAGTGTAATTGATTTGCTAATGAAGTATAATTTCTACTTTATTACCAAGGTATTTATCACTTCAGATGTGAGATTAATCTTACAGGTATTTTAAAGTGGCACAGCACTGCATAATAAAAATTAATTGGAACTGGATAAAAGTATAAAATATTTCCTATAAAAGGAAAATAATTATTCACAAAAAATTTGTACTACAAAGATAAAGGTTTTTCTAAATTATCGAACATAACCATAGTTAAAGAAAAGCTCAACCCAAGTAAACATTTCATTCATATTCTAATTTTAACTGCTACTCTGACTGGCATCAGTTTGCTAAGAAGTCATTGCTCATATCTGGGGCTAAGGCCTATGGCAGGTGATAATACACTGTTGTCATCAGCTTACATCTTATCTAAAACCAACCAGTATACCTTTAGAGGTATACTTGAATTTGCAGTTAGTGTATGACAAAATTATAAAAGTAACATACAATTATAATTATCATAAAATTAGTTCATTCTCATAGAAAATATTGCTAATTTACACAGCACTTCATTTTGGGAGGCAACCAATCATTGACCAAAGCCTTTATGTTACCTTGCCCTGTAACCCTGTCAGACTGCTAAAGTTGTTACATAAGAACTAATAATATATGAGCAAATTCCCTTAAGCTCTTCAATCTGATACTATGTAAAATAAAGCTACTTTTCATTCTTTATGGGTCTAAAGCTACTGCATCTTCTTGATATGAACTCATAAATACATAAAAATTTTGGGAGATAAGGTGTTTTCATGTTTCAGTAATGAAGCTACAACCTGACTTTATTCAAGAAAAAGTTTTTAAAAGATTGTCAGATCACCTTAATAAAATTTCCCCTTAGTATTTTTATTTTATAACTTTACCTCAAAATAAGGAGCAAGAGATATTCATCTATTTCATATTTAGTCTTTCTGCCTATAATCAAAGTATTAGAATTTGTGTAATGGTTGGCTCAAAAGACTATTTTTCTGTGTGTGCATGTTTTTTTACTTTAAATACATTAGTGACAATTTAAGCACAACCCATTTACTTACCTAAACTTCCAGCTACCATTGCAGACTGCAGAGCAGCGGTCAAACCTGGGATCATCTGGTAGTAATACACTGTATCTGCACACGCGCAGGCTGCAGTGCCCACCACTCCTGGCCAACTCTGGATAGGTCGGGGAAACCCCACCAGGAACAAAGGAAGGGTGAAGAGAGGGAGTAGGGGAGAAGACAGTAGTGTAGAAAAAGCTATGAAGACCAACACGAATGGACAGAAAACAATGTTGAGTATACATAAAGTAGTGGCTGATTTTCTACGTTTTTTCTCCGACCATGATGCCAAAAGTACAGCCACAGCAAACTGCAATTTAGAGATGAACTGGATCAGACGATCACGCATGATACCAACCTGTAAAGACATAAAAATAAATTTTTATTCTTCGGGAATCTTTTATATTCCTTTTTTATTCTTAAAATGATTTTTAATTCTTATTCTTTATTTTATTCATTTCATGACATGCACTAAAAGTCTATTAGACTAAGAGTTTAGTGAGGTTTCAGGATACAAGATTAATATTAAAAAATCAATTATGTTCTATACTGTAGCAGTAAACAAGCCAAAAAAATTAAGGAAATAATTCCATTTATATCATCATAAAGAATACAATACTTAGGAATAAATTTAATAAAAGCATAATACTTGTACATTGAAAACTACAAAACACTGTTGAAATAAATTAAAGACTTACATAAATGTAAATATATCTCATGTTCATGGATGAGAAGAATCAATAATTTTTAAGATGGCAATACTCCCCAAACTGATCTACAGATTCAAGGCTATTCCTATGAAAGTTTCAGATGCCTTTTTGCAAAAAATTAAAAGTCAAAACTAATATTTACATGGCAATGTAAGGATATCAGAATAGTCAAAACGATCTTAAAAAAGAACAAAGTGCCTGGCCGGGCGGGGCTCAGCGGTTGAGCATCGACCTAGGATCCAGGTGATTGGGGTTCAATTCCCGGTTGCGGGCTCGATCCCAAGTTGGGGGTGTGCAGGAGACAGCCGATCAATGACTCTCTCATCATTGATGTTTTTCTCTCTCTCTCCCTCTCCTTTACTCTCTCTGAAATCAATAAAGATATATTAAAAAAAAAAAAAAAAAAAAAGAACAAAGCTGGAGGACTCACACTTTCCAATTTCAAAACCTATTACAAAGTTATAGTAGTCAAAACAGTATAGTCAAGGATAGGTATATAAATGAATGGAAATGAACTGAGAGTCCAGAAATAAACCCTCATTTGGTTTTTGACAAGGGTGCCAAGAAAAGTCATTGAGGAAAGAATAGTTTTTCCAATAAATGGTGCTGAGACAATTGTACATCTATATACAAAAGAATGGATTTGGAACCCTGTATCACATCATGTATAAAAATTAACTCAAAGAGATTACAGTCCCAAACATAAGAGCTAAAACTGTAAAACTCTTAGAAGAAAACATAGTAAATGTTTATGATCTTAGAATGGGCAGTGTTTATTAGATATGACACAAAAAATACAAGCAACAAAAGAAAAAATTGATAAACTGAACTTTACCAAAATTAAAAACTTTTTTTGCTTCAAAGGACATTATCAAGAAAGTAAAAGACAACCTAAAGGGTGGGAGAAAACTTTTATCAGATACCTGTCAAGAAACTTGTATCCAGAATAGAAAAAGAACTCACAGAACGCAACAATAAAAAGACAAATAATCCAAATAAAAGTGGGCAAAGTACTGGAATAGGCATTTCTAAAAAAAAAAAAAAAAAAAAAAATGTATAAATGGCCAATAAGCATGTGAAAAGATGCATCATTAGCATTCAGAGAGACACAAATCAAAATCACAAAATAGAAGTTCATACTCACTATGACTATAATGAAAAAGTCAGATAACAAGTGTTTGTGAGGATGCAGAGAAATGAGAATCCTCATGCATTATTGATGAGAATGTAAAATGCTGCAGCCACTTTGGAAAAATATTTGGCAATATGTCCATATAAAAAATTTGTTCATGAATGTGCATAGCAGCATTATTCATAATAGTCAAAAGTGAAAACAACCTAAATATCTATTTTCTAATGAATTAATCAACCAAATGTGTATATCCATAAATCAGGATATTACTCAGCAACAAAAAAGAACACTGATACATGCTACAATATGGATGAACTTTGAAAACATAAGTGAAAGAAGCCAGATGCAAAAGGCTCTATTGTATAATTCCATTCATGTGAAATGTTCAGAACAGGCAAATCCACAGAAACAGAAAGCAGATTGATGGCTGTGGGGGCTGGATCAGGGGGTGGATGTGATGGAGAGTAAGAATGAGAAATGACAATGTAAAAGAGGTCTCTTATGGGATGTTGAAAATGTTCTAAAATTAGATTGTGGTGATGGCTGAAAAATTCTAAATATATACCACTGAACCAAATATTTTAAGTGGATGATTTTATGGTATACAAAATAAATCTCAATAAAGCTGTTAAAAAATACATTTACCAGTAAGAGCTTGATTCCTGTATTTAGGCTTCTGTTCCACCATATATCTAGACTGGAGGTCAACAAGTGCGCTGCAGATACAATGACCGTCTCCAGTAAAGCATTTTCTGTATGCTGCCATACCTACAGCACACAAATTATCCACTTGATTAGGGAGAATTTGATAACCTATGTAAACTATTAGAGTAAAAAAAATCACAATTAAATTTAGAAATAGGAAGATATTATTAAGTGCATACTAGGATTACCATTCTAAAAGCTCTTGTGAATCCAATGGAGACAGACACAGAGTGGAGCCCTTGTAAGGAACTGTCCAATGAAAGAAATGCTATCATAGCAAAAGGTGACACTAAGATAAACAAAAAAAGACAAATTAAATTAAGGCAATGTAACCCATTCTACCATATTTTATTTTGGCCAATATGAGGTTTTTTTAATGACCACTTAAGCAATTAACTAAAACAAACAACCCTCCCCCCAAAACCACCAAATGAACCAACCAAAACATAAACACTTATATGAAGTATATTTTACACAAATATGGGAATTCTATAACATTTCTGTACATTCTGTAGATATAACACAAAGTAGATTTTTACCTTCCTACCTAGATTTAGCAAAATCCGTCTGACAACACCAATCTTCATGAGCCTTGCTTGCTTCTCTAAGAATAATGTCACAGTTTGCACATCCTTTGGATAGAAAGGGTTTCGGAAAATTCCAAAGATATAGACACTTTGAATTTCTCTAAGTATCCATAGTATTATAAGTACTATCATCAAAACATAGCTAACAATAGCCTGGGGACTGTTTTTGGAAATCTGTGAGCAACAAGCAAAGTGATGCAGTAAAATACTTTCTAAGAGAGCCAAGACTAATATAATGATGTGGAACAGGCATTCCTTCCAAATAAACTGCTTTTCTGAGCCAATGGGTGAAGCCTTAGATTTGGTTCCAACTCTGTGTCCGGTTACACTGTGTTTGAAGACAAAACCCATCTCACTTAGGTTAAGACTCAGTAAGAACCCAAGTCCAGTCATGAAAAGAACCATTCCAACAGTGCTGGGAATGAAATACGATGTTATAGCTGTTCCAGAAGAAATGATGAACATTATTAATAACCTGCAGAGAGAAAAAAAAGGATATGTTTGAAAGAAAAAATGTCCTTTAAGAGTTACATATAACTTTAATATTTAAAATAATTACCATAGGTGAGTAGACACAGGTGAACCTCCAAGGCCAAACTCTAAAACCTGCTCCATTGCCCATAAGAAAAGCGCATCGGGTGGGGGCAGAATCCCTAGTGCCCACAGAAAGGGTAAAAATATGAACAAGATGTGTAAAATCTGATTCATTTGTTCTAGAGCTGGTATATTTACCATAAACCTATGGGAAAAAGAAAATATTTAAATCACAAGAAATAATACATAGAAGAGAATCTTTTCAGGAAAAACAAAACATACATACACCACCACCTCCCCACACCATACATATCATCCCCCCAAAAAAACAAAAGAATGCTACAGAAAGGTCCTAGTCCCAAATTCCAAAAGATCAACACGTATAAGTTGTGATCACTGTCCTACCCTCCCTACTCAATAGTGTAAAAGTTTATCACTTAGAGACTATGTGGATTCAAATGTGGAAAGAAGGAAGATGTCATTAAAATTTATTGAATAAAATTGAATTTAGGAATCTGTACAACTGAACTGAGCCCAGGGCAAATATATTTCTCCCTTAAATGTATAAACTACATTGGCTAAATTCTACCAATGATTTTTGAGTAAAAATTTTTAAATTTAAAATTGTAAGTAACCCTGAGAAAGCCAAAGCCTTACTGCTGTTCACACATTAGTAGCTGGCAGAGAGGAAGCTCTTCCCTTTCTTCTAGTCTCTCTTGTACTGTCTTGTGCCCAGGTCCCAGAATTTGAAGTTAGTGTAGTTAAAAGCAGATCAGCAACATTAGGTTATGAGTGTGTCTCTGTGGGTTAGCCTGGAAAGTTAACTAGCACTTATAACACTGTTTCTATTTCGTATATACAGTGGTAAGGATTTGAGAATACAAACAAGTATTACACAATCTCATAAATTAGAGATGGCTTTTCTCTTAAGCTGATAAACTAGTTCTTCATACAGCACTGACCAGTTAAATACAACATCATTAGGTGATTTCAAATAATTTAATAAAAACTTTAAAGCACAAAAGAATAAACATTATTAATATGTTACTAATTTTTTGGAATGAGGTTAGACAATCACCTTGTCTGAAAAGCAACAATGTCATAGCACTTATGGAGTTCCAGAGATAGCTTAAAAGAGGTAAACCTCAAAGCTTATAACTGTACTTGAATATCTGAGCTGCTAGAAATCAAAGTTGAGGAAAAAGGCAACTTCTGTAATAGTCACCACTTAAACGTATGTTAACAGTCCAGAAGCAAATGCATAAAAACTACAGATATAATAGCATAATGTGTCTGGTCACACACATACGAGGACTATGCCAGCTAATGCACTCTGCATCATAATGTATGTCCTTCAAATTTTTATAAGCAGAGAATTAATGAACACAAGGTTACAATGTGATGCTAAATTAGAGGACAATACTTTGTGTAGTGTAGTTTAAAATAAAACTCATCTCATCCTGAGAAGAAAACATTGAAGTAACAAAAAAGAAAATAGAACCACACACAATAAGCCACAGGAAGGTCAAGGAAAACATGCAGGTATGTACAGTTTTTGTTTTTGTTTTTAAAGATAACACTTCTCTTTAGACTCATAGAGAGCAAGTGTTCAGCTCATGGGGCATAGAGGGATTGAGCAAAAAAGAAAAAAAGAGAAAGAGCTCACGGGTGAGGGAACATTGTGGTGACTATCGGGGGGAGGGGAGGGGATGGAAGTGGACGAGGGTCTGGGGGATAAACGGTGATGAAAAAAAACTTCTCTTTTAAATTACACCTTAAAATAAAGATAACAATTCTCTTGCTAACACAGTCAAGGAGAGGATAACATGTAAAAATAATGTATACTAAGGAAATATTTTATCCAAATTAAAGATTTACTCCCCAAATCTTTTTGTTCTTAACATAAACAATAAGCAATGGCATAGAAAAGTATTTATATACAAGGAGATCATAAATAAATAGAGGCACATGTAATTAAGGTAACCAAACATTGTGGTTATGTTCCTGTGCATATGGCTCAGCCCCAAATAGGTTATTATTGTGGTTAATTCTTTTACATAAAAATGTTTAAATTCTAATGTTTTTGATACTATAACAAGAATATTCTATGGCAAAAAATTGAGCCCCCAAGAAAAAAACTTTGTTTTCACTCTAACCACCATTAAAATATTTCAAATTCTATACTATGATTCTCATGCCCAGGAAAAAAAGTTCTTTATAGTGATATAAATATGCATCTTCATTCAAGCAATTCCTGAGAGTCTATGAACAAAGTATTGTAGATTTAACACTTGTCTTTGATAAAACTACACAAAAAGAGTCATTTAAAATTATTAATACACACTGTACTGGGTAGAATAAAGAAGGGAAAAGAGAAAAGATCACTACACTGTGGGACTTGTCTCTTCAATGTTCACATTCTCTGAAATAAAATTAAGACAATTTGATATATTTGGCAAATGTCCAAATCTGAATACTGTACAAATTTCATACATTATTTATCTACAGTATCACACCTAATATATAAGGATCTTCTTGATTCTTTACTTTTTGTTAATCAGAAGCTAAATATTTTCTAAAAGTGAAGTTGGAGCTAATTTTTCTGCACAAAATGTCATTCTTTTCTTTAAAAATAGATTTGAACACTGCCTTTTCTTTTAGTTAAAAAAATCTTCTTTGTAATTATAAAACTATAAACATTGAAAATTTGTATGAAACTGAAATAGAATACAATAAAAATATTTTATGCTTTTTTTTAGAAATGAGTAATACAAAAAGCAAAGTAACCGAATTATAAATTGAGATTTTTTATTTTTTGAATTTTTATTTATTAAATTGACTTTAAATTTCTCTTTATTGTTGGAAGTATTACAAATGTCTCCCTTTTCCCCCCAATGATCCCATCCCTTCTATGTCCCTCCCCCCAGATTAGGCCAGGGCCCCATCCTCATTACCCTAATTACTTCCCAAAGGCCCCATCTCCAAATACTATCACATGGGGTGTTAGGGCTTTAAACATATGAATTTGGGGGGAACACAAACATTTAGTCCATAACATGACTATCCATTTCTACCTGCACACTAACCTGTAAAAGAGAAAGCTGCAATCTACAGAGAAAGAAAAGTCAGATTTAGAAAAGGCAAGCAAAAGGGGTTTAGAAAAGGTAAGCAAAAGGGGTTATCAAACAATTTTATAAACAATTTTGTTAAACACTTTTTCTATTTTTCTTCTGTAGCCAATTAATTTTTAAAAATCAGTATTTCTTCCATATAGTTACTATAACAAAACTAGATGTTATCTATTCATCATACACTCAATCTGTACATAAAATTTATCATTTTTTCCTCACAGTAAAGTTCTATCTCTTTTCAAAGGTTTCAGCCAGCTACCATATAGATTCATAGCTCCTTATTTAAAGTGAAACACAGGATTGAAATTTTGCTTATTTATCTTATCTTATACAGGGTTTTCTTTTTACTCTTCAATAAGATTTACTTACTGCTTTAGTATGTATGTTTAACAGAGATTAGTCCTAAGAGATTAATCATCAAAACAAACTACCACCTAATGGTTTGTCCTGATGACTTCCAACTCACAGATACATTTTTTAATACTAAGGAAAGTGCTCCTATTGTGTGTGTTTTAAAACAAAGCAAGTTATAAAGTATTTGATAGTGTATTACCTGTATGCAAGATCTACAGAAACAAAGAAAAAAATATAAAGAGGTCTCATAAGAGGAATAATTTCATAAGTATCTTGGGTTTGGAAAGTCGCAGTCTCTATAGCTGTGTTTACAATTAATGAATATTCTCCTGTACATAACGTCATCCATCCAAAGACAAACAGTAGAACAGCGCCTCCTGCACTGCCATACAGCAAGGTCATTCTATTTGGGAGCAGATACCATGTTCCAAGACCACACGTTAACCCGGCAAGAACAGAATGAAAAACCATATTGGCTATATATTTCTTCCCAGGAATTAGAAATTTGATAGTCTCAGCACCAGTACAACTTGTAAATTCATGTTCATCTTCCTCTGCTAAGATATCTGTGCTTAGCATTCTTTCTACGGTTGACGATTTGTTTCTGGCGTATAAACTTGTGAACTGAATGACAAATGCAGTGAAAAGCATTAGTCCGCCTGAGAGTGCTGCTGTGTAATAGTCTTCTAGGATTCCTAATTGGTACAAAAATGTTCCTATTCCACCCAAAACCCATGGTGTCAGAAAAAGGATAATTTGATTAATATATACGTAAGGGGGGGCACAATAGCCTAATTTGAGTCGAGGGCCTCCAAGCACAGTCTGTGGAAATCGCTTCAGAAAGAAGTCCTTTTTGTAATCATTCAGTAGAGGCACATCAGGACTCATCCTTCTCACTCAGGAGTATCCTGAAAGTCACATCCTTTTCTGTAACAAAGCAGTCTCTAAAAAGAAAAGGAAAAAAGTCACTATTTGGAAATGCCATACTTAAAACATTTGGGAGAAACCCCACATTTCTATTTTACCTCCTCAATTCCTTCAAGGGCTGGATTTACAACTTCATTTCTCTACCTCCTCCCCATTGCCTGACACATACTTGGCACTAAACAAAGAGTTGCTAAGTTGTTTTTTATTTGGAAAAAACACACACACCACATTCATTATTAATTTATCTAGAACTTAATATCTGGAATTAAATCTTACGTTAACTCACATTTTTAGATTGTGAGACCAAAGGAAAGTTTAAAAAGCCAGTACTTTCAACTCAAATCTGGTTTAACAATCATTTCCCTGAGGACTTTTGTTTGAGTAACTTTTTCCTCTATTACAAGGGTCAGCAGATTTTTTCTATAAAGGGCCAAAGAGTGAACATTTTAGGTTTTGTGGACCATATGGTCTCTGTTATAATGACTCAACTTGCTGTAGTTGCAGAAAAGCAGCCATAGACAATACATATGTAAATGGATATGAGTGGTTGTGTTCCAATAAAACTTTACAGTATTTACCCAAACCGGCTGTGGGCTAGGTGTAGCTTGTAGGTCAGTTTACCAACCTCTGCCCTATAAAACAAGGATATTCTCTATAATTACCTTGAATTAAATAGAAATGGAAAACATAAATACTAAGTATTGGTCATCACATCACTTAACAATAATAGTAAATTTAGGATTTTCAGATAATTTAAAAGTTAAATCCTGCTAAAATAGTAGCATTCTAATAAAGAGTCACTGGCATCTCAACAAGTAGTAGAAAGAACAATGATTTCATTGTTCCAACCAAAAGACTTCAGGCGTCAGAATAATGCTTATTATTAGCTACATTACCACAGGCAAACCACTTCGTGATTCAAATTTTAGTCTTTCTGTTGTCAGTTTTTAAAAATCTACCAGCACTAGGAAAGTATTTGAAACAAGAAGACCCATACATGCTTTAGTCTAGATCAGTGATTTTCAACTGGTGTGCTGCAAGAATTTTTAAAACCAGTCAGGGGCGCTGACCTCTTCTCCCTTAAACTATCAAATTAAAAAATGACAGCAGCCAACACAATAGCCGTCCGGTGTGAATGCCCTCTCTTGAATCATAAATATATAGGTCATATATGAGTTGCATCTTCTTGGTCACATCTCATAATGAGGTTGCATCTGATTGGTTAACTCTTGGTACCAGAAATCCTTATTTACAAGTATAGGCACCTGATTTTTTAAAAAGTCACTGGATCTAAAGACACAGAAGCATGGAACAGACTGAGGAATCTCAGAGGGAAG